ACCTGCCGCGTACAGAATCGTATATTGTTTGTCATTTGGCACAACATACGCGTTGATTGCGGTTAATGATGACACTTTAGATAAACCCAAACATTTAAGCTTCCGGCGATTATCACGCATCTATTCAGAGATGTCACGAGTGCAATTGGAAGCTCTGTGGGCTTATTAGCCCACAGGCATATTTGTCATTGGGGTATTCACATGTTGCTACCTCAATTTTTACCTAAAAAGGAACATAGCATAAGGTCGAAATAAATTTTTAAAATAACTTTGGCCATTTGACTGGCCTGCGGCCAAGAGAAATTGAGAAGCTCAGTTGAATGTCTGTGCCATTTAGCTAAGTCGAATTGAACATATGCATTGCGAGCAAATTAATTTTTGAATGCATAAGAGCCACAATTTTCGATATAATTTTGTGATTCTAAAATTGCCCAATTGGCAGCAACACAATCAATCATGACTTCGTATAGAAAGATCCATTTCCTATCAACTGTATTGGGACAGCATATCATTAAAGATAAGTGAGTCCCATAAGCAGCTCTTGCCGTTTGTGCTATAAACCGAATCGGCATGCGCCGCACTCAACCATTAACAACACAAGACGCCAACATTACGGTCAATGTTTGGTAATTGCAAATATTAACGTTTAAGGATTTTCCACTTGGCACTTCCCGACAAATGTTGCCATCGCCTGCCAGCACTTCAATTATTTTCGAGAGCGGGTAGGGGGTAAGGCTTAAACAGGCAACAGCCGTTGGCCAAATGAGCGTTCAATTTAAGACCGCTAATTAAACAAAAATCAATTATCGTAATTCATTTCGCTTATTTATATACGACTGTGTATGTGTGCGCCTATACAATCAAGTATGGTTATTTAGGTTTACATTCCAATTCCATTCTGCGTTCTCAGCCTAACTTGTATATTCTACCAAAATCGTAAATATACTACATTTTTTCGCTTTGATTTCATTTTGCAAGATTTCTGCAAATGGCCCTAGTGAAGGCAAGTCTTAGTTCTCCTGTAATCAATACCAACAAAGCTGGGGCAATTAAATAAGCAAATGAAGCGAGCAAAAAGGAAAAGGAAATATTCTTTGTGGCACTGTGTATAAAATTAAGCAAATCCTTCGAATTGAGCTGCAGTTTTAGTAGAAATCTTTAATTTGACACACTCTCTTATTAAGTTTAAGCCGAAAGTCATAACTGATAGTAAAAACATGCAAATATTTTTTTCTTATTTAAGGTATATTGATATATGAGATGTACCTTATTTTATGCATATTTTATATATACCAACTAACTCTTATAACAAAAGTAAATGTATCGAGTTTACTTACAATGTATTTTTCTTTTAACAAGAAATTTTTGTTGATCGATTAAATCTGTAAAAATCTTATTAACCTCACACTTTTCACTAGTGTCCGTGTCAATACAATTTGGAAAAATTTTAAGGTTACTTTGCTACTACTAAGTTTAGATTATTGAGGGGCGCAGGAAATATTGTCAGCCACCCGAAAGACATTTAATGACCAACAAAATAATTCTTTTATATCTTTCATTTCCTAAGAAAGGAAATCGTTGTACACAATTGCATTTTCAATTTTGCTAACCGAAAAGAGCAAAACATAAAAAGTTGTATTTTGCAGTTTGTTTGCTTCTTGCTTCGTTCATTCTGTAAACTGTATGAAAAATAGCTGAAGCGTTGGCAGCAAGGAGTTCCAAGTATTGAGTGAATCACACTGCATTCCATTGCTCCTGATTGCCCCATCCACGTGATTGGTCGAAAATCAATTGGTTTAATCAAGCGAAGAATCTGCATCTCATTGCAGATTGATTGACTGAACGAGTGACTGGTCTAGGCGCAACCAATCAAGTGCAGTTGGTCTGCCTCCAATAGCCAGTTAATCAATATATTGAAGATTTTGGCATCGGGCTCAGGCTTTAAGTTTTTATTGACATATCTGCTTTCTATATTATAAATAAAGGGCTAGAGATCTAAATCAGAGATCACGGGTACCGAATATAAGATTTTTGAATATAATTAAAGTGCCAATGCCAAACACATTTTTAATAAACAGCATGAGATGATCCCTGGGACTCATTTTGAAATAAAATACTTCTAGACAGTTAAAAATTTTTAAATATGTAAGCATATATATACATGCCAGCTTTGTTGAAGGTCGTCTGATACCAGTATAACGCATTTGTATCCGTTATTCGCAATTATTAATATTTCTAATGCAGTATTTTGCTGAAGACAGTATTTGTTTAAACGACAGCAACTGAATAAGTTCGCAAGAACCTATCTCAATAAGTATTGATAACATACAAGAAGAATATGAAATAGTTTGGTTCTAGTAATTTTTCGTTATACAAGTATTACAAGTATTTGGATATGTAATATATACTTGTAAAATGGCTGACAATTGGTATGAGTATCGTATGAGTAAATGAGTATACAAGTTACATGTATCTTTATCTGCCTATTGCTTGATGTAAAGGATTTAAGTTTTTGTTTAAGTTCATACTAAGACATGGGCCAGCAAATCATATCAATCCTTTCTTTTTTATTAAAAACAATCCCAATTGTTCTTCAATTTTTCTCACTATATATTTAATAATATAAAAAGGCGGAATGCCTACTTATCCTGTCTTCATTTATTATCGCTTACCACGTCAATAGTCATTGCTATTATTTAATAATTTTAATTCTTTAATGAAGTCTCATTTGTTGATTATTTCGAATTGCGTTACACAAAGCACTTAGACCTTCCATGATCACGCAACACAAATGCCTTTTCCTTTATTATTAAAGCTTGGAAAAAGCTTTAATTAAATCATTTGCACATTTACAAGGAATTACAATTGCGCTGCGGTTCCGGCACATTAAGATTACGAACAGGTGTTGCACCTGTGGGGTAAAGGAAGTCTAGAGTGTCACTAAATGCTTTGGAGAGACCCTGCTTATTTTACAATAGGGAGCCAGCTCAATAGAAAGTAAAAGTCGTTATTCAATTTAAGTCTCTCGGCATTCTCGGTACTCGACATCGCCCAATTTGGCCCGTAATCACTTCCGTTACATAAGAAATTTCACCTTTAACACGCAATTACTTAAAAGAAAAATTTCCATTTAACGGTATCAAGCTGATAAGAAATAAAAATTTACATTTGCCAGCGGGCCGACAACAGAGAGAACAGAAAGTGTAGGACAGGTGCGTATGGAAGGTGCAGGTGCCGCCTCTTTATTACACACAACAATGGAGCCGACTTGAAGCTTAAATATGCAATTTACCATAAATTAATAATTTACTGGTAAGTTATTTGATAAGCCATTTGCATTTATACAGCCCGCACACCCATAAGTGTGCACTCCGTAGCTTGCCAGCCTGCAGCCCGCGCATTACACTTAAAAATCCTAAAACACGATCGTCAGATACCTCTTAAGAGACATACTTGTGACATATCGCAGATATTTTTTTAAAATTTAGGAATATTTGATTATATTTTGAACATATATTTTTCACGTCCAAGCAGCTATAGTAATCTTTTAAGGCCCTCTGATCCTAAAATGCAGGGTACAAAAGCCGAGCCTTAATACAATATCGAAGTTCAGACCTGTTCAGTCATGAAGTCGCTAAGCAGTTAAATAAGGTGTTGCTCGAATTTGGCCTTCGCCCTCGTGCCTTTGTGTGTGTGAAAATTATGCAACAAGAAAGCTGCCGTATAATATAAGAAATTGATTTTCTTTCGAGTTACTTCTTTAAGCCCTCAAAAACGTGTCGACGACGTTTAAAGACAATTGAAAAAATTTGTTGAAAAATGTAATGTTGAATAATGTAATTCACAATTATCTGGTTTTGCATAAACAAATATATATATGTTTCTAGAAGACTTTACTATATTTATATTTATTTTATACGAAGAACAGAATAATTTATTAGCAAAATAATATTATCAGATAATACACGCAAGCATATACAAAAAATGTATCTTTTTCAGCCTTAACAGACATATGCAGTTTAGATTGTTTCAACATTGTTGCGATCTCAACATTCTTTTCTTAATTAAATTAAAATAAGACTAATTACAACTTAAAAGTCTGTTAGTTTTCCATTTAGCAAGTAAAATAAATGTACCTAGTATAGACAAGCGAATGAAATAGAGAGAGAATTTCAGGAAGAACTGGCCAAGGTACGCAGATTGGAGGGCCATGGAAATTTAATCAGTAGCTTTTGGTAACATCTACGAAATGTATTTAAGGGCTAAAATGAGTGTGCATAAGTAAGACTCGCGGAGGAAAGTGGCGGTAAGCAAGCATAAACACACTCAGGTAGACTGTCATTAAAATTGGACCGGAGCAAGATTACATTGTTTATACGTCGTGTGCTTGAATACTATGGAAAACGCTGTGGAATCGGGTTCGCATTAAGTTTTTCCCTCTACTTCTGAGTGCAAATAGCCAAAATAATAAGATTTAAAACAACTTCCAGCCAACGGCAACGCAGCTGTGCTAGGCAATGTCATAGCAACAAGAACAAGAGAGTAACAGGAAAGACTTTCAGCAAGCTGTTGACAAGGCACAGAATAAAAATTGGAAAAGGGAGAAACGCATCTAAAAAGTTCGGGCTTTTAGAACGTTCGTCGTATGCTATAAGCAAAGGAAAATCAGCTTCTGAGAAATGCATCTTTAATCTGCGTAATGTGAAAATTCCAATAACATAACACCGGACAAATTTCGTCACATTTTTATAATTTTTCCTCACAAAATGTGTACCCATCCGACGCTGACATGCCGGTCCCGGTAGAGAAAATAGTAATCTTAAGTAAAAATTGAAAATCTTTATTTGTTATCTTAAGGGTATCAAAATAACAAGTCAGAGTTTCTAGTCGGGAGCTCCCGACTAGGGGATACCCTAAACCCTCTTCTTCCAACACCAAACGCAAATTTATATACTATTCTAGAAGCTACATGTCAAGTTTGGTGACTCTAGCACACACACTCTGACAAAGTTGTCATTCAGTTTTTTTTTAATTTTTTAGTCGTTATTTTGCCACACGTTTTAGACCCAGCTCTGGCACACACGCAATTATAAGGGACACACATGCATGGGTAAGCCGCCTTAGTTGCCGAGTAATATTCAAATTAAAAGGACTTATGGAGACACTCCGTTTGCTACAATGTTGTACGTATGAATAAGGGAAGGCGAGCAAGCCCTTTTGACCTCCACGTCAGAGGGAGCTGCTCCCGTATTGCCATTTTTTTCACTTAAGTTGGAAAGTGGCATCCATTTGTGGCAACAGTCACGCTCCCCGCCGAAACCACGTTCCTGCTAGTTGTGCTTGCAGCTGATGCGCTCGTCCCTTATTGTTGTAGTTTATTGCTATTGCTACTGCTCTTGTTGTCCCTTTATATGTCATATTTTCCGGGTAATTTACATTCTCATCATAGTACCATCACAAGCACACACACACTCATGCAGAGCGAACAGGAGACACCTACCTGAGCAACAGGAAACATCATACAGATAGCGACATCGCTTCTTTTTTCATTCACTATCCCTGAATTTGAAGACCCTTTTATATTAAAAGAACTAAAGTTGTTTTTAGCCTAGTATTAAATGACATACACATATGCATACACTCACATAAATACATAATACATACATACATTAAATAACATTTTGAGTATAGGTGTGAGATTAAAGTCGATCGGTCGTAAGAGAGTCTGTTGTAATGAATATTTTTCCGCCCTTTTTCAGCGAAATTGTCCGTTTCCCCGACCTATCCGTAAGGTAAATACAGCACAAAGTGCTTAAAGCGGGATCGGTACGGACTATATTGTTTTGGTAAGTAAAGTGACAATTCCTTAAATCACATTTAATTCATTGTAATAATTGCAACTGCGCAGTTGTAGATAGCCCAAAAGTGAAAGCAAGCAGGTAAGGTGAAATCAGTTCAGAGAAGCAGGGAAACTAGAGCAAAATCTTTTGCTTAGCGTGAGATTTTCCAAGCTCTTTTATTTTCTGTGCACTTATTTGTATTTATGGATGGCGACGCTGCTGAAACGCACTAAAAATTTATTGTCTGCAACTCAAAGCTTGACATGAATTTTATTTATATTCATTGGAATTGGATTTGTGGGACCCCAAAGATGTTCGAGCGTGAAATATACGAGCAACAGTCGCAGTAGCTGTTCCTGCTCGCACTGCTCGGTAAGGACGCAAAGCCGGACGCTTGACTGAACACAAAATAGAACTGTCGGCATTGTTTTATTTCATTTTTTGCTGGCTGGAATGGGAATTTGGTTCCTGAAAGTTTCGAATTTCAAGGCGTGGATCAGTTCTAGGCCTGTTTTGTGTGTGTGTTTTTTTTGGTTTTGTTTCCAGCTTTTTATATCCTTGCAGCGGGTATTATAATTTTGTCGTGAAGTGTGTAACACATAGAAGGAGACATCTCCGACCCCATAAAGTATATATATTCTTGATCAGCATCAACAGCCGAGTCGATATAGCCATGTCCGTCTGTCCGTCTGTCTGTTTCTATGCGAACTAGTCCCTCAGTTTTAAAGCTATCTTAATGAAACTTTGCAAAACTCCCTCGTTCTGTTGCACGCAGCACATATGTCAAAACCAGCTGGATCGGACCACTATATCATATAGCTGCCATAGGAACGATCGGTCGAAAATTAAGTTTTTGTATGAAAAGACATTTTGTTTATCAAGATATCTTGACCAAACTCGGCATTTATTAGTTTTACTATGCTCCTGATATATATGCAAAACCCTATTAATATCGGACCACTATATCATATAGCTGCAACAGGAACGATCGGTCGAAAACCGGGTTTTTGATTAAAAACCTTTTTTGTTTTTCAAGATATCTTGCCCAAACTCGGCAATAACTATTTACCCTGTGCTTCTTAGATACGGGCAAATCACTATAAGCGTTATGAAAAGGTTGGGTCTGCAAGGGTATTAGATCTTCGGCATGCCGAAGATATCCTTTCTTTCTAGATTTTATTTATTTTATTTTTGTATCAACTTAGTTTATTGTTAGGCATGCTACCTTTTTCTAGTATACCTTTATCATTTGAAATGTTGCCGGAAATGCAGATGCCGTTGTTGTTATGCTTCATGATTACCGGGTCGACTTGCCTGTTCTTGCTCAATTTTCTCTATTGATTAATAGCTATTATGGCTATAATATTGTCTAGAATATTTATTATTATTCATAATGATTCATTTTGCAGATTTTTATATTTATGCCAAGTACTGATTAGGGACTCACCGCGGGCGTTACAAATGTATCGTCTTTCATACCTGTCGATCTCCACGTAAAATAATTATTTTTGTTAAAAATAACAAAAATTATTAAAAATATTTTAAGTTTTAATAGCCAAGTCGATATAGCCATGTCCGTCTGTCTGTTCGTCAGTCCATATGTATAAACGAAAGGATATCAGAACCTAGAAGAGCTAGAGACTTGAAATTTTAAATACGTACGAGTACGAGTTTGCTTCCGATAACTTGCCCCTCTTCAAAGAATACAAATTGATATCGAAATCCTGTTTTCGGAGCAATTCCCTTAGGTTTTTAGAGATAAAGTCACCAAACTGGTCAGGTAGCTTTTAAAATAGTATATATATATCAAGTATCTTTCATTTTGCAGCTATCCCCACCTTACCGCTACCACCCCATAGCTATAAATCAAGTTAAAATGCCAATTTGTATTGCACGCCAATTTAATCCAACATTTTTATCCAATTTACTTCTGAGAATATAAAAATATTCTATAGCACAATAAGATCCACTGATGATAATTTCATCAAGATCGGTTAAGAAACACAGAAGTTATTAAATAAATCTTGTTTGGGCTGGTTAGGAGCTTGGGACAACAAGTGCAAATTTGCCAGAATTTCTGTGTACATGTACACACACACATTCGCGCGAGTCAATAATGAATTCTATCAACAGCATTGCAGTTGCGATTGTATTGTTAACAGTGATGCTAATTTCATCCGTTTCTTTTCTCATTAAGACACAATTATTTGCGTTGATGTTGAGTAGGGGCCTGCTGAGGAATATTTTTTTTAAATGTAAAGTGCGAACTGCATTTGGTGTTGGAATAAGGGTTCAGGGTATCCCTTAGTCGGGAGGTCCCGAAATTAGTTTACAAGCAAACTATTGCGAGCACAAATTGAGGGTTGAATATATATTAATATTTGGATAGAATCGTAGAACGTATTAATTTTAAATATATTTTAAACTGCGATAGCTAATTTTTTATATTTTGTAGCAGAGGTTTAATTATATGCATAATATTTAAGTTTTTTAAAGATGTAATTTAAAAAGATGAAATTGTAACAATTCAAAACTACTTCAATCTTATGGATATTAATATAATAATTAAATATTTTAAAGACTTCATTTTTGGGTAAAAGCATCTATGATATATATGTATTTATTTTTTAATGAGTCTTGAAAGCATAATTCCATTACAAGAAAGTGATAAACATAATAAGTAATTAAAAGTTTGTAGTGGCACACATGGAGGCAATAATGATTTCACCTTAATTGTCTGTGTATTAGCTGAGATTATTGGCATCATTAAAATCAATTTTCGGATTATCACCCATGTTAAAATATATATCTGGACATTTTTTAATAGCAAGAAAAATACCACATACAAAGGAAAACTAACATCAGGTGGGCAACCAAATGAAACAATTAATAATTTCAGATATCATTGCAGAACGACCACAGTTGCAGTAACAGAGTACCGTTTATATGTTATTTTCAATTAAAAATAAAAAGCAAAAGGGGCAAGCTGAACCCCCCGTGGGAGCATTGAAGATTGGTATCCGATTCGTGAAATTAAAATCGAAGCAATTGTAAATGCAAATTGATGTGCAATTAATAAAAAATGCCTTCGCTTCATTGGCTGCCATAAGCGTGCCTCTGTTCGAGTTGAAAGATCAAATAAAAAAGCATTAAGATAAGGAAAAATGCCTATGTATAAAATAATAACAATAAACTGGCACATAATTGTTGAAACCTGTATGGCCACCTGGCAAGTGCATCAATATGTGTACAATTGAAAAAATATGATACATAACACAAAATATCAATAATACCATAAAATATAGGTCCATACACGATCTCTTTTATTATTATTCTTTTGACATTTTGGGGACAATTTGGTTTTAGGCAGCCGGGCTTCTATTTGCAAACATTGCTGCAAATCAAATGACAGCTTTATTTATATGTATAAGCAAAAACCAAAACTCAAAATACGAAGCGCAGTAAATAAGCTTAAATGTGTAAAATATTTGTGAATCCTGCTCGCATGGGATTCAAATTTCAATGTATGTACATTGTTCAATAATTCAATTGTTGCGTATACGACACGATATTCCAAAGTGCAGATGTGAGTATTCCAGAGAATTAATAAAATTTTACCTTTTATTACTTATATAACAATAAGAGGTTAAATTTGTAAAATTGGTTGTATAGAAGTATGGATACACATAATTATTTGAATGCAAACGTATTCACAATATACTTCATTCACAATTTACAACTTAACCACTTTTCCCTCCCGCAGGGGGCTGCTGGTCTTTCCATAATTCATTTGCGTATATTATTTGTATAGCTCACCACTTTTTCGTTTTTGTAAATTGAAATAAAAAATTAATTTGTTGACATGTTTGCCCTGGGCTGGGGCCCAACTGCCCTCCCCTAAGGCCTGTTACACCTACCAGTCGCAAGCTATAAATTATGTACTGTCAGTCGCTGGATAGTCGAGATTGTTTTCACAGTCCTGCGTATCTCTCGGATTTGGGTATACGATACGATATTCCAGAGTGCAGAAAAAAATTATCGCAAAGGCCGCGTAGATTATAATTTCCATTTTAGTTGAGTATCTTCTTCTTTCTTTTTGTTTTCTTGGCAAGTGCCCGTAATTGGAAGTGATGCCGGCTTAGAAGAAATTCAGCCGAGGGCTATTTTCTAGCCTGAAGACAGAGGTTCGCCATTTAGTCGGAAGCTAGGCCTATTTGTGTTTAGCTAGTTAAAAAAATAAAAGAAAGTAGCATTTGGCTTACGGTATCGTTTTTTTTGTTGCAGCCACCCAATAAGGAACAGGAATAGAAGGTGCTGAACTGGAACTTTGTGATGATCGGCGAAGGTGCACAGCGGACGCTACGAGGATATTCCTAAGAGTGTCATCTGGCTGTGCAATCTGGCCAACTAATTGGCCTTTGGCTCTGTAAAGAAAATTCCGAAGCGCTACACGAGCGTATATTTATTTATATATTTATATTTATTGACTTATTTATTTCATTAACTTAAATTGATTTTTATATGTTGTTCACTAATTGGTGTGATAACCAGATTATGTAGTGTGCTAATAATACACTTATATTTGTATATATTAATTAAATAGTGTTTTTTTTTGCCGATGTATCAAACTCTTCTGAATATACCATATGTTGTTACTGAACACGATTGAGAAATATAAAATCGTGTTTTTTAGGAGGTACATTTTATGAATCAGGCTGATCTATGATAAGCTAGAAAAAATGTCATGATAATTATCACTATAGCTATTATTATAATATCTGTTATTACTCTTGTTATTACTATTATTATTATAGTGCGTTTGCTTTTATTATTATAATTTTCCGGATATTATTTTTAAAAAAATCTGAGTTGCCCTTTATATGAAAAATTTGCGGTTAACATATTGCGGGTCTATTCCGTCGATTCAATCAAGATGCTTTCCAATAAATTCCAAAAGAAACACAAACTACAATTAAAAGAATTTTACACAACACAGCAGGAGGTGGCCGGTGAGTGATGTGTGGGAATTAGGCCAAAGTTAATGGCATCCACATATAAAGTTGGTTTCTTTAGTATGATTTCGCTTAAACATGCAAGGGCACAAATTTTTTTACCGGCCACATTGTTGTTGTTTTCGGTGATGCGGATTGCAGCAGAACTTTATTATGATTTATAGCCGCAATGCAGGGGTTGCATCTATGGGCGATTTCCAAAACTCATGACAATCCCTTAAAAGTAAGTGAAGCGGTTCATATCGAACAGAAAGCTTGCAGACAACTTTTTGCGGGCTTAAACAGCCAAAGTGTGCATAGTTGTTAATCGGATCGTGCGATTAGCGTATTTTTTGTAAATAAAGTTGTTATTCAAAGTACACTTACTACAAGCATGTTTTCCACGACCAGCACAGAAACTGGTGGTCTTATTAGTATTGCATAAACCTATTTGGTAAGTTTGTTGTATATTATTACTTTAGGGCTCGTCAAGAGATCGGTAAAGTTTCCTGGTTCAGATGAATCTTTACATTAAATCGAAAGTTAGTCTGCTAATTGAAAAAGGAAACTTTTAATCGATAACATTGAAAAATATTTGGAGAGGCCATCTTCGAGATCCAGAACAGTGTACACTCTGCCCATTTGATCAGTAATATCTACACGGAATTTAGATTTGCTATAAAATAATATAGTTTCAGACTTTTTTTGTCCCTATCAATTTTGACCGAATTATGTTTCGTTTTCAGCACCAGGACCTTTTTGTTGACTTACTTTTACATGCTGTCAATATAGCATTACTTGTTTTATTAATTACAGATGAATATTGAGGTAAATTTGATATTGTCCTAAGGAATATCTTTTCTGAATTAAATCTAGTTATATTGACAGAGAATGCTGTTGCACTTAGCGTTTGGTATTTTACTTATTTAACTTTCTCTTTAGTTTGCAAAGAAAATGCAAATATGATCACCGAGTTATTAGCCCTTTCTTAGGTTTATTAAAGTAATAAAACTAATTTTGAAATATTAATAGGAATCTTCGACGTATTGTTGGAGCTATTATCGGTCAAATTGTTCGCCACGGACATGCCTTTCAGCTATCCAATCCATTCCAATGTTTGTCTCTGAGATAGCTATTTCCATTAGAGATTCTTAAAAGTTTTTCCATTATTGCAGTTAAGGAGACTATTATTTCCCTTTTCGCATAAAGCTATGTCAGTAGGCGTTACTTGAAATGCGTCGTCAACATGAATTATTATTTCAATAAATGTAAGACTTTTTTTTTCGAATTTTCGTTTACTTAATTTATGTATTTTTATTTTTCATATCGCCTGCGCTCGCAAAATGTAATTAATTAACTTTCACAACTTGGGAAAAAGTGCTATGAATCAAAGTCAAACTAAGGCAAGAAGCAAAAAAGTTTCTGTTCCTTAAAGTTTTATTCAAGTTAACATAGAAAAGGTGTTGCCATCAATTGATGGTTGACGAATTAATTGAAGGGCAATTTGGACAGTACGAGAAAAAAAGAAATCAAGCAATAAACAATATAACAATATATGTAATATTTATATAACATAAACTTTGTATGTCCCTAATTTTATTTTACAGGGGATATAACCACCTTTATTTAGAGGATACTCTTTAGCCGAGTAATTAAGCTCTAGCCAATGTGAATTTAAGTAATTTTTGTTGAAACGTTTTTATGTAGATATTATAGTAATGGTAATTGTTCCCCTTATTTGTTTACCGATAATTTCTTCTTGGGCATTTAAAGAGCGATGCTGCGAATCTATCTCTAACAGAATATGAAATTCATTTTTTAGCGCCCTATTATTCAATTTTGTCAGCTCGACAGAACTAATGAATCTGACAGGAGTGAGCTGATTACAGTTGTAGAATTTGAAAATAATTTTTTAAAAGCATCTGACAGTGATGTGCTATCAACTGTCGCAATCAGACCCAAACCGCATTCTGCATCCTTTCTGGGAAAGTTTCTTCTTAAGCAAGATAAGTCACGCAACCTGTTTGTGTAGAGGCAGAGTGATTCACAGCTGGTATAAATACACTGGCGTTGGTTTTATAATCCCCTTGGCAGCTAACAAATGTGTGCACATCCGTTTTCCTACCGCTGTACAGCTGCCCATTCCCAGCTGCGAGTTAACAACAATAGTCGAATCTGAGGAACCTGCCGGCCAACAGACAAAACGTAAACAAACGCAACGCATTCCAGTTGGGCGAATGTGTTGAGCTCAGAAAGTTTCTGGTCCATTGCCCTCACCTGGCTAAAACTCTATCTGGTATCTGTTCCATCTACAATTAGGTTGGGAAATTCTGAGCTTGCACCGCGTGCAAATTGCTTAGCGAAAGCAAACAAATTAATCAAAATCAACTCGAAGCTGTGCAACTGAGTGGGCTTCGAGCAATGTTCCATGTTTTTCCAGGATGCTCTCTACCAGTGCCCAGGCCAGACGATTTTGAACTAACTGCATTTGGCTTTGCACCTCACCATGCTGCTCTTTCCCTATTTCAACCTTTGGCTCAACAAACAACCTTTCTTGGCTTTTGAGTTAAGCCAACCCTCGGGATTGAGTGTGTGAGGGTTGAGCTGACGCAAGGCCACCGAAAAGGTGAGGTTGTCATAGAGTAGTCTGAGAGATAAGCTGGAAATGCTGGTTAACCAGCGAAGAACAGAGCTTCTGATAGCAATGCCAAATTTGTTTTTATTGACTAATGATCTACCAACCTTTATTCACTGCTTAACCAAAAGCCGGAGTAAAATATACATTGCAATAATATATACTGCTCAGTACTTATGCACACATTCATTTGAAAATTTTGAACAGTCGGAGAAGGGTTTTCAGAGTAGGGGAAGCTACACATAATTTTAGAAATATTTTGTATATGCTTTTCAATAAAATATAGAAAGACTAGCGGTTAAAGCCCGGCCTTGCACGTATGTGATAAGATCTATGTTCTCTAACAACAAACAGTTATATATAAAGAGATATATATTCAGGAAAATGAACTACAAACTAATTATTCCGAGATACGATCAAAAAACTGAACCAAGATATTGATATTTATCGATTTGGGAGAAGGGCACCACATTATGTGCATAGCGAATGCAATCAACAATATAGACTGAAGGACAGCTGGCCCAATTCATAATAAAATATTTATATTTTCCGCACCTGTCACTGGCCCCGTACCACATCCGACCATCCCACTGTTGACTACTACAGCTGGGCTACTGTCCCTATCTGTCTATAATTTGCTCTTGTTGGCTAGCATTACCCACCGACCGGATGCCTTTCGCTCACGCTCAAACTGGCTTAGTGAATGATGAACAGCCAAAGGGGTGGCATTTTCTAGTGCCGGGGAAGGAAAGTGGAATTGTTTCAGTGTCTCTACTGCGACTTTTTCTTGCTAATTAGTATGTATGTTCAAACATCATTTTACCATCATCGCCACTCCACATCATCCAATTTGCTTCCACCTTCATGCAGAAAAGTCCACATTAAGAAAAACTTAACAAAAGTGTGTTGAAAAATGTTTAATATTATTCAACATCTTAATATTTTTAATTAAATCAACATTTAAGTTGATTATCAAGACCTGTTTGTCCGCCGTTTTACCCATTTTCAATGGTTTCAGGGTATAAAAACCAAAGAGGGCAAAGGAGGCAGATTTAAATTTTGTTATAAACAAGTCGGCAGCCAAGAATATGGACGCATATACATAACCAACCCAAGTGGAGTGCGCATGGTGACAAAGTACTTATGTATATGGAATAATGCATGTTTTGCGAAGAACTTAGGCAACAACGGCCATTAGGCAACCATATCAATTAAAACCGTGCTTGACTTGAAAACCGTTTCAAAGCATGCAATGTTTATGCGCATGTTGCTACCCTTTATTGTTGCTGTTGGCTGAATAACCGCAGAAAAGGAAACTTCTGTGTCAGGCTGGCAAGAGATTCAGGCAAAGTTTGGCGATTTAACGTACACATCCTAACGTAAATACATCAAAACAGATTGTTGTTTCTGCTGAAGACAGTTTTAATAGCTTTTAACAAGGCTGCATGCGATTTGGTCAAAGTGCAGCAGCTCGATACTGACGCCCATTTGAGCACCTTAGAGTGACTGACACACATGGCGTATACGCAGCAATTAAAAATTCATTATTATACCCTTGCAGAGGGTATTATAATTTTGTCGTGAAATGTATAACGCATAGAACCAAACTCGGCATTTATTAGTTTTACTAAGCTCCTCATATGTATCCAAATCGTATTAAGATCGGACTACTATATCATATAGCTGCCATAAGAACGATCGGTCGTAAATTAAGTTGTTGTATGAAAAAACATTTTGTTTTTCAAGATATATTGACCAAACTCGTCATTTATTAGTTTTCGATACTCGTCATATATAGGCAAAATTCTATTAAGATCGGAACACTATATCATATATCTGCCA